GGTAGAGGATTCATGTTGCCGTCACGGGCTTTCACGCCTACGGCTGTTTATTTACACCAAGGGGAGCGCCAGACGCACGGACCTACCCAACACGCTAGCAGAATCTGGATTGGGAGGAACCTGTGTGGATGGCGCGACTTCGAACTTTGCGGCGGAACTTGTGTGCTGGAGAGCGAGAAGGAGGAGCGGGCAACGACGGTGCCTGCAGGCTTGAGGAAACCGGAGCAGCAGCTGGTTAGGAAGGGAGTGGCGAACGTACCTTGCGATCGAAGGCGGAGATTGATGATCGCAGCATGAGGGTGATGGGCTCGTGCTGTAGAGGCGGTGTATGTATTCAGAACTACGTGAGCAGCAGCAACAACAGCAGGGCCGACGGCTAGGGTCTTGGACCCGTTCAGGCACGTAATGCTTGAGTTTTTTCTTGGTAGTTTTGAGTGACTGATGCAGTTCAATGAATGCGATGTTTGGGAGTCGTTATTGATGCAATTATGTGTGAATACTGAAGCGTGCTGTTTTGCGGCGAATTCTTCGCGACTTGCGGTTGTGTTTTGTTACAAAGGACTGATCACCTTTTGTTCCAGGAACACCTTTAAAACACCGCGTGCACGAGTGACTCCGCACTAGAGGAGTAGCTACCCTTTGAGTCGCGTAATCACCAATCGCTGTATCAAGAGCGTTGATGTTCGCCTGTCAGTATGGTAGGTGTTTTGAGCATTTCAATTGCACACGGCTTGCGCGGATTTGTCCCACTGCTGTCGAACCCGAGCAACACCAGAGTTTGCATGTCGATTGTTGTATCATACGGGCATTCTGCTGACGGTGCTGTTGGGCCGTGAGTAGGGCGTCTTGTTTGTTTTCTTTTCAAAGTGCGACCGTAATCAAATATTGCGATCGTGGCAAGCCCGGGTTTTTGGGGGTATTGGTAGTGTGTGTGCACGAATGCAGGCGTTGCTTGTGGATTTCGTAGGTCTGAGGGGGCATCGGTAATCGCGTGATTTCACGAAGTGTTCTTACATGCAGGTTTACATGGAAACGACACTAATTTGCGATTTCCCCCTCCGACGCACATCGCGTCTGATGAGTCAATCCTTCGGAAGCGACAGAAATGCCCTCTCCCAACTAGGCGGACATACGCGATGGCTTCCATGCCGCGGCAGGAAACGGAGTGAGACGCCGCGGCAGAGGATGCATCGCCCCGCAGGGATGGAAATCATGGGCAACGGCGGTTTAGTGCCGAAGATTGCGGGGGTATTTGTTTGTGGATTTCGAATTTGTTTTGTTTTGTTTTGTTCTGTTTCTTGTCTTGATTCGGAATTCCTTTGTTTTTTTTTGTTTCGATTGAAGGTTGCACCTGGATGAATACGACGGCAGGAAGGTTGCCTTGACACTGTTCGGAAAGGATGCACATTTCTTGGTGATGGAACAGTGTTGTTGGTTTCAACTTGCGAGCACAAGTTTTGCGGGGAGGCCACTTGCGTTGGTCGTGATTGTCGATTTTTCTTCGTGTGGCGTTATTCTTGGTAGGCTCAACGTTACCTCCTGTTTGTTTGGCGCGTCTCTCCATGTACAATTGGATAGGGGCAACTCCTCCCTCTACAAATGTGCCACGTGTCCCATGCTCTTGACAATGATCATGGGGGGGGGGGGGGGGGGG